CGTGCGAATCCTACGACGATATTCTTCGCGTAATCGGGCATAATTTCGAAGAAATCTCCTTCATCTACCAATGCATGCACAACGTCTAACATATTGTATGCGGCAGTCGTTTCGAGTGGCACTACAGTATCCAGGCTGGGCACATCTCGATCCCATGGATCATCACATGCACGGATTGGTGCCTGATCGTGGTTCGACAATGGCAAGTAGTTGACCAAATCACGAACGTTTTGCAATGCTTCCACGTCATTTTCGAATGCACCATGAGCAACACCAGATGTGATCGTGTGGGTCTTTGCTCCACCGAGCTCTTCTTGGGTTACCTCTTCGTTGGTGACTGCTTTCACAACGTCGGGTCCAGTGATGAACAAATATGACGTATCTTTTACCATGAACGTGAAATCAGTCAATGCTGGTGAGTATACAGCACCTCCGGCGCAGGGACCCATAATCAGAGAAATCTGTGGGATAACTCCTGACGACATCACATTCGCCTGAATGCTTNTTTAATCTAACTCATTGCGAACAAATTTCAGAAGTGATAAACTGTGATCCACTAATGTTTGCTTCCTTCTTGCATTTTCAAGGCAGTTTGAGATTATTGTTCCGCGGTGTACTTATATGAGCTCAAGATTACATGTCATGCCATTAACTGTATATCGCAGAGTCAAATGAATGCAAAAGTAATTCTAAACGATCAGCTGTTCGCAGTAATGAAAACACTGTAGCTAAATGATTCTTTTCACGAAACTGTTGCACTGAAATTATTGTGGCAAAGCAGCAGGATCTTGAAAGTTTGTCCATCGATTCAACAAGACAAATGAAGTGTAACGTCTTGCACCTGGAAGATGTCAGCGTAACCACCAAGCGATGCAACACCCTCCTGGATACGTGCACCACCCGAATCGTTCAAACCAATGACTGGTGCTCCTACTTCCATTGCGGCCTGAAACGGTTCATTTGAACGTTGATTCGTGATTGTTGCAAAACAACTTCATCGATTGAACCTCTATTTCGAGTTTATCAAGGTAAGAAACTGGCAAAAATTAGCGCAACAAATTACAAGGTGGCTGTGATGTGATACTCAACGAAACTACCTACCTTCATAACTTTGCAGATTTTCTTGGCATGGATAGATGACAAACTGCCACCAAAGACAGTGAAATCCTGCGAGAAAACGAATACGGAACGACCAGAAATCATACCGCGACCAGTTACAACACTGTCACCGGGGAACTGTAAACAACCAGTTCGAGCTCTACGTATACAAAATCAATGGATCATGTGGTACAGCTAATGATAAGCTGAAAAATAAGAACAAAAATAAGGAATTCAACGCACTTTCTCGTTTTGCATTCCGAAGTCATGGCAGGTATGCTCATTGAACATGTCATATTCGATGAACGTTCCGGGATCAAGAAGAAGTTGAATACGCTCGCGAGCCGTCAGCTTTCCCTGGAATCAACCACCACCTTCATTTACCCTTACATATAACTGATCATTTGTGCCGAGAAATGCAGATATATCATGCAACAATTATAACCCATGACACTTTTTTTCGATGCGAATAAGGTGGTTGAATGCGATTCCAATTTCACCAGTTGATTCAATAAATTCATGAATGATCACTTAAATCAGCCTCAGTTTGAAGGCGGAATCAACGGACGAGGAAGGTATCATGTTCGGTTACTGAATAATGAGGTACTGACTCGCTTATGTTGCGCTTCGATTCTCTTCGGACCTCCACCAACAACCGCCTTCGCACGGGTTTCTTTGATCTGTTCTTGAACTTTGATCGTATGTGCAATTGAGGATTGGAAGCGAATGTGCTGAAAAATGAATTATTATGCAAACGTCAATTGAAATGTTGCTTGGAAGTGGTCTTATACTGGTCATCAAGCGTTACAGTTTTGTGCGATGAGACGCATTCAAGTAAATGGTATACCCCACAAAGATGTCCGAATTTTTTAATCGAATCTTCAAGCAACACGTGGCTAATTTGACAGTCACTGCCTGGAATCAACGAGGAATGCGATAGCAGTTTCATCACTTCTAATCCGTCAACAACGGATTAGAAGTGATGATCAAATCGCCTTGCACATTAATCATCCGTTCCCGTCACAATCCAAACTACACTTCCACGTGCTTGCGGATAAAGGGCCTAACTTCCCCTTCACTGTGAATATGCCCACTA